ATGTGCTATGATACAATACATCGTGAAACAATACACAACCACCATCCAAACAAGTCAAGCAAGAAACCCAAAACCGATTTAGAGAAGAGGAAAGAAAATAACCTATTAATGATCAAGCTGAGGAAAAACAACAAAAGGGTGCATTAAAAAAGTGTAAGGACAAAATTGAGTACAAATAAAGGATTTTAAGGTAAAGTTGTAAATGGATTCCATAAAAGCTATGGCAACGAAATTCTGCAGGTAAAATTGTACATGTTTTCAACAACGTGTCATATGTATGATCATTCGAGATTATAGGAAAAAGTAAAAAAATAAATATCATAAATTATATTCAAAACATTATTTTTTTAAAAATTGGTTGAATTGCAAATTTCGAAACAAGAAAACATAATGTGGATAAATCAACAAGTTAAACGACATTAATAAAAATTATCTATGCTATTAGTATATTGTATACTATTTATTTCGAACTCCATTTGTCGAAAAATTATACACCTATTATATATACAACATTAAAAAATTTCTTTTTTTTGTATATTTATAGATGTTGAACTGATTTGATAAAGATATTGTCTCCGCTATACTTTTATTAACACATATACTAATATACATAGTCCGAATCAAAGTTACTAAGTTCACATGAACCTAGTGACTTTGTATATGTGTTAACAAAAGAGGTAAAGTTCAAAAAAAATTATCAATTGAGTTCACATTCACAATATATATATATATATATATATAAAATAAATTTTTTAACCTTGTATATCTAAAAGGAGTATGATTTTTCGACAATTGGGGTTCGAATGAATCAGTATACAATATATAATAGCAAAATTAATTTTTATAATGTTGTTTAACTTGTTGATTTGTCCACATTATGTTTTTTCTTGATTCGAAGTTTATAATTCAACTAATTTTAGAAAAGTAAAATGTTCTGAATATATTTTATGATATTTTTTACCTTTTTCCTTTTTCCTTTTTCCTCTTTCCTCATGTCTAATTAATCATTACATATGGTACATTGTTGAAAACATGTACAATTTTACTAGCAAAGTTTAGTAGTCATTGCTTTTTATGGAATCCATTTATAATTTTACTCATAAAATCCTAGATTTGTGCTTAATATATTTTATGGAAAAGAGTCATCTTATATTTGTCCTTATACTTTTTTAATGCACCCCTTTTTCTGTTTTCCCTCAGTTTTTCTTTAATGGGTTGTTTTCTTCCTTTTCATTTAATGGTTGAGATAATCCAATAGTAGTCAAGTTAGATTTTTTTCTTCTATAAGTCGGTTTTGGGTGCCCGGATTTTTTTTGTTTGGATGGTTGGTTGCTTGAAGATATATAGTGTTGCCTTGTATTGTTTTGTTATGATGAATATAATGTTCGAATAGATTGCATCATTTTATGTCGTCATATGATGCCAGATATAAATAATTTGAATGATAATAAATGAGAAAAATAAGAATAAGTTAACAGCACATTAGTCATCATATAAAATGAGACACTTCATATTATATAATGATAACTATAATAATACGATACAAGTTTAAGTAGCTATCAAAACAAACTATATATTTAAACTAATATGAATCGTTGCAACACAATACAACCGGTAACAACCATCCAAACAAGGTGACACACCATAAATGTGAAATGTGAATGAAGTTGCAAACTTAATAATGCAGGGCAATTTAGCAAAGAATACTTCACATTCTGGGTTGTAATAGTGAAAAAAAATGGACCTTTTGTTTTGGTTTCATCAAAGAAAACTAGAGTGTAGGATTTACTTACCATCAAAATTCAAAGTTTAACCATTTAGTGTAGTAGACACAGGTTTGTGGGGATATAACTCCATTTGGTGTACATTGATTAATCCTAGAGCAAGCACCACATGGAATTGAAGCCATTGGCGCGATTGTTTTTGGATCAGCCTCTAGAGCAACTCCGCTTGCAGTTCGATAACATACTGATCCAACAGGAATAGAATGATATTCTCCCAATCCAATACTCTTTACCTCTATAACAGTATTGTCCAGAACCATAGATTTCAATATTTCCGCGATTTGCTGACTTGTGCACTCAACAACTTTCCTTTTCTTCAAGAAATCGTGGATTCCCTCTGCAGTAGCAACTTTCAGCATTTGTATGACCTTGAGGCAAGTGTCTCTAAGAACTGTGATGAATTCCTTGTCAAGATTTCCCTCCGAGTACCACGCACCACCAGTCAGTTCATCCGAAGGTTCAAACTCAACAGCTATGTAATAAGGATTCCTTCCCTTACTTTGGATATTTGTGACTTGTTTTATCAAGTTCTTTTTCACCAGTAACTTCAAGGATTTATCCACAACAATTGGTGCTATGTTTGCCTCTTTTTTCACCCCTGCCTTCAAGATACCCTGATTCTTTTTACTTTTCACCACATTGAGAACTATATAGTCAGCATCTACAAGTCCCTGAGTAGGCGAATCCACGTTTAGTCTTCTCCGCTTCATGGCAGCTGCTTCACTTGATCGGATCATCACTGTGGGTATAAAAGAGCAAATTAAGATGAGTTTTCGATTGATTTTTAATCTCTTATCACATAATTCCAATGCATACTCATGTAGTAACTAGATCAATTATTTCCAATACTCATCACACCAGAAACAACACCATCGATCACAAGTTAGGTTTGGGAGTGTAGAATGTATGCAGACATTACAACTAACTCGTGGAGGCAGAGAGGCTGTTTTCGCAAGACCCCGACTCGAGTGCAACAATTCAACTACAAAGGAGAAAGAGACCTTGCACCAGAAAGTCAGATCAATATAGGCAAGACCACACTAATTGAGGTCGTTGAGTTGGGAACAAGTTATCTCGGAATAATTAATCCTGAGATAAGTTATTTCATCAATTATATAGGATAACTTATATCATCACTATGTCAAGAATGGTGAAAAAAATAATTCAAGACAATCTAATACCTTCAACCAAACGGGGATAAAATAATATCATGTGTGCACATTACTTATTTCAGCTCAAGGGCGGCTCAACCTAAAAATAAGGGCCTCCAAAAAAACCCCAAATTCAGTTACGAAAACATACGCACAGAAAAGAAACAAATTGCAATAAGAGGCAAGATTAAACGAAGAACCAAAAGCAGATGAAGGAAATACATACATAAAAGAGACGGCCAGATCTTATGAAACCCAAGTAGAATATAAAAAAATTACGTTACTTCTCCTCTGTTCCTTTTTAGTTGTTAGGTATGCTATAAATACTTGACAATATTAATTTAATAAAATTTAATAGTTTATTGCTAATCCGTACTAATTATTATGCATATATTTTTGAAATTTTATTATTGATGTAATTATAATTAAAAATCATAAATAATTAAATTTTTAGTTACTTTTTATTTCTTAATTTCTCTAATTCACTTCAATTTGAATCAACCATGTTTTAATATTGGCTTTGTAAGATTGTCTTCAATTTTTTGAGAGATGTTTTATTAAACATTTCAACCTCAAACTAATTAAATTATCAAATAATTAAATTTTAAAAAATATTGTCTTAACTTTGAGTGTCTTCTAAAAGTAACAATCATTATAATATCAGTTTTTTTTATTGAAAAGTATTATGAAATATTATATAAGTAAAAACAAATGACACTCTAATTGACATATTCAATGAAGTGAGGTCTTAATTTTATTTTTAAACACTTTTAGAATAATCTTGATAGTTTATATGATAAATGATGCTATTGAAAAGTTTTCAAAAATATAATCAATAAAAGAGATTTAAACATTTGTGTTGTTATGTAACGTACAATAATTTATATATGCTTATTATTTTCTTACAAAATATTACAAGAAATGTTATACTGTAAATTGAAAAAGAAAAATTAATTATTAAATTATAATTATGAGAGTAAACTATATATAAAATATTAAATAAATGTATCTCTTTTTCTAAATTTTGGCTTTAGGCCACCCATTTTATTGAGTCGCCCTGTTTTCAACTAACAAGTACAAATTAATATATGACTATACGATTACAAAGAACACAATTAATATGAATCTAGACCAATCATAACACAATTTGATAAATAAATAATGAAGACTCACCCAACCAAGTGGGTAGCTAGTTGAAAGAATGACTGATAATTTGCTCCTGATTTCCTACTTTCTCACCTATCTTTCAAGTGGAGGGGTTAAAGTTCAAACTAGTCTATGGATCAGGATCAGCTCGATTATAAGGTCACTAAAGCAATCATTGGGGCCTCAATTTTTTTAGGCCTCAATTTATTGCTTGATAAAATACCAATACCTATTAATTATAAATACACAACTTCATCAAATATGATAGGAAATAAGCATATATTTGTAATAAAAATAAATAAGCATTCTTAATTAATAACGAAATAACAAGCAAGAAAATACATAGTACACAATTACACGACATATTCAAAGTAAACAAGGTAGGTCTATTACTTTTTCCGTTCACTTTTTAACTTAATCACTATGCTAATGATACATATTTATTTTTACTGATTCAGTTATTAGTAATTTCTATTGTGGACTCACTACAAGAAAAAAGACTTTTAGCGAGAGAAAATCCCGTTGTTAATAGTCAATAACGACCGATAAAAATCCACTCCTCACCGATCGCTAAAAGCTCCGTTGTTAAAAGTTAACAACCGGATTAAAAATTCGATCGTTAAAAATCCTATAACGACGAAATGAAATTCGGACATTATACATTCTCTTAGCGACAATATTATCCCTTCACTAATAATTTTTCCGGTCGTTAAAACTTTTAATTACGACAATAAAGTGAATCAATAAAAGTGTTTTTAGCTACTGATTTTTACCAATGTAATTTGTCTGACAACTTTCAACAATTATGAAGTACTAATTATTTTTTCTTCGACATTCACGTATATAAATATACTAGATATGAAATGCCCGTGGTATGCACGGGTTCAACGTGTATCATTTTGAAAGAAGAACTACTGACTTTTCTCTTTTGTAGTTTGATTATCATAAACAAATATTGTTGATATACAATAAAAGGGCATAAACTATAGTAATATTGTCAAACTATTTTTATAAATACAGAAAAGTTTCCGAAGTACAAATGCCACGATAAATACGTCATTAGAATTTCTCTTATGCTCAATTGACGATGCTCCCTGGTAGAATTTGAGATCAAGGAGAGAGAGCTACACGAGCACTTGCAAGAGAGTGAGCTGCAAATCAAAAAGTTATATAAGCTCTATTATAAAGTTATACTCAGCAGTCATAAGATGATATTCATTTTTTGAAATAGCTCATAGATTCCAGTGGTAGTTCAATTTGGTATTTGCTTAGCCCATACTACAAAGTGACGTCCTGATAGTTCATTGCCAGATGAAAATCAGAATTGTTTCAATTTTCATTTGTACTACAATAAAACACATGTACATTAAGGCCTATGCGCAGAAGTGTAATAATATTTTGAAAAATAACATAAATGTACTGAAATTTTTAAAATTACTAAAAGTTCAAAAAGCTTTTCAAAATAGAAGTACCTTCATGACCGAAGCGAGAACTTATGAATGACTTGTTTTCACATTAGCTGCAGAAGTTTAATAATATTTTTAAAAATAACATAAATGTACTGAAAATTTTCCAAATTACTAAAAGTTCAACAAGCTTTTCAAAATAGATTACCTCCATGTCCGAAGCGAGAGCTTCTGAATGACTTGTTTTCACATTAGCTTTTCTAGTTCTTTCTTCCAACTCTTTCCTCTCCGACTTGTAGTCAAAACTATGAATCTGTATCATTGTGATACAAGATACAAGATATTTCGATCTTTAGCTTAAGCCTTCTCTTATCAATAGTTATTCTTCTTGCATCACAAATATATACTCAAGCACATATTATATATTCAAAGTAAACATAAAAAGCTTAACGAAGGTAAAACACGCACCTTGAAGCCTCGTTCGTCTACTTTCTTGTAATTGTAGGCATAATAGACAAGCTGACATTTTCTTACTGTCTCTACACTGCAACGACTCTTTGGTAGACAAAATCTTCCAATTAAGGGAACTTCAATTGGCCAAACAAAATTGTCATGTTCTTCTCCGCAGCTAAGTGCCTTCACAATCAAATAAAAATATTTTCAATCAAGATAATGTACACTCCTCGAGAACTCAAAATTTTCACTACCATGCAATATTTCACTATGACAATTCATAGTGAGCATTCACTGAACTGTCTTCCTTTTTCAATAAATTTGTCCAAAATTCAATTACCCATAAACCAAAAAACTATACTGGCATTTTAGTAGTTGCGACAATCTTAGGCCATGAAATAGTGAAAGAAGAAAACTTTAATTAATATAGCCTTCCTTTTCAAACTGCTTTGAATTTTTATTTTTTATTTAAGTCGACGTTCTATCATAAACAACCTCTCTACTACAATCTATAGCTTATATTTGGTATATAGTGCAAGAAAAAGGCTCTAATTGTCAAATGTATCACCAAAAGATGAGGACTTAAAATAACAAAAGGATCACTTGTTTCAAACTATTAAATTATTTAGTACGCCAAATATTGATCAATGCCAGATCTCTTAATTTCTTTAGTTGGTATGATGATAAAATTCACATGAAATTGGTCCTTCATGCAAACTGCTAGAGACGACAACAAATAGAAGAAGAAGAGATCCAAAGAAGAATTAGAAAAGTCGTGTCGGAGAGTACCTACAGGTTCCAAATGATGTTTTAAGATAATCAAGTAAGAAAATTTATCTCTTGTGGTGGTCACCAGTAATGGCATGTCCCATGCTCAAACAAACTTTAGATCAAGCTAGCATTTGATCAAAATTTATCTTCAATTTCAGAGGCATAGTTAATAAAAACTTATTACACAAAACAACATAAAAAAGGATGTGTCTACTACATACCAACTGCTTACTTGGTACTATCATGTGATGTATTTACTTCAAGGAATAGCCTTGCTAGTTATTATCAGCCTCCTTTATTCGTGGCCTTCACGAAACATCAAGACCTGTCAGATAACGTCATCAAGACAGGAAATTACTATGTTTGTGAGAATGTATATAGAAAAAAATGTCATGTTGAAATAAATAAAAGTGTAGATAATTTACCTAGTATTTGATCTATTCAAATAGAATAAAGTTATTTCAATCACCATATTTCTACCTCCAGATCATAGTCTTAAGTATCTGTACTTGGATCTGTATCCCTATATCCTGAAATTAAGATCATGAAGAATCCGACCTCTAAATTCACATCGGTATCGAACACCCTCACCCAAATCCGAGCAACTTAGGTGGAAAGCAGAAGAGTTCTGCCCTAATGTATCTTGCAGACTACAGGAAGAACTTTGCAATTCTTTTGAGTTTAAAAGTACAGAGTATACAACACAAAGATGAAAAACAATTGCTAGAAAAGCATTATCAAACTTTTTTGCAACTAAAACAGTCCTACAGGACTATATAGGACTAAAACCATTCACCTTGCCACATTTATTTGAAAATTCAAAAAACACAATCCTTGAATTAACACTTGGGCTGATATCATCAACCGTGCTAACCTTGGTATGGAAGTTATGCATGAACGTAATGCTCATAACTTCCCTCTAGACCTAGCTGGGAATCAGATCCTAAAACACTAAAAAAGAAAATTGTCTTTTCGCTCACCTCTCTTTTTGTCTTTGAGAGAAAATACTTAAAACAACTTCCGTAATAAGTTGCATACTTCACGATTTAATTTAGCTAATCTGTGATTACATGTGTTTGATATGATTGAAGTTATTTTGCGTCCACTTCCTATGAACACACTAAAGATCATAATTGTCCAAATATTTTTGATACAAGACCTACTTTAAATATTGTGGCACATTCATTTGATGCTAGCAATTAAGATCAAGATTTGCATCAACAACAGAAACAACACCAAATACCACTACATATTAACAAAATCCTAAAGACAATGACATCAACTATGGTTTTACATGGTGAATAGATCAAATTCACCATAGAAACTCTTGGGACAAATAAAATAGACACCAAAACACAATTAAAAATTCCTGAAATGAAAACCCACAAATTCCAAGTTTTCATATCGCAATTCAACTCTAACTCAGTTGTACTTCATACATAATGATCCCAATAAGAAGATTGTTACAAGCTAAATCAATAGATTGGGGAATCGATTCATACCTTGTACCAGCAGCCTCATATTCTTCCATCTTTTGTGGCGCAGTCAGAATTTCAAAATATGAAACACCAAAATAGCACAAAGTTCAATATCATTTATATATATATATATATATATATATATATAATATAACAAAAAAATATAAATAGTCTATTTTTAAAAAAAAGAAAACATTTGGTTTGTAAGTTCGCCAATTTTGATAATTTCAAGTAAAAAAAATTGTAAAAAGTTCCAACTACATATGCAATGTCTAGAGTGTGATAAAGGATTCTAAGGAACGAAGCAACCATCATAACATTTGAAATACTACAAGTTCAGATTACCACTAAGTAAATCAAAAGCTAAAATATAAGATGTTTCCAGGCTTGTCATGCCACTATTACAAAAAAACTTTTAACGGCTAGAAACACCTTATATTTTCTTGATAAATATGTATTTATGGCAGCGGTTAGAAACACTACAACAAATTTCGTGTTATTTATAAAGGTTGGCTAAGCAAACTCTTGATAAACAATCACGAAATTAGTTGTGATTTTTGGTTGTCTAACAATATCTTAGTCAACCGTGATAAATGTCAGAACACAGTTCTTTGAACAAGTGAAACATTTTCTTCTCTTTGTTAAGATAACAAGCTTCTGCAATGCCACTGCATTCTTTAGTAGAAACTTCAAAGGATCGAAAATCTTACAAACCTCTGCTTCAGACCACGTCTTCAAACGTGTCATTAGGCAGCCGACAATCTTAACATTCTTGAAATTGGAAAATAGTGTTTGGAATCCAACTCGGCAAATTGATATTATCCACTTTGGCGAAATATCTTAGCTCAAGCTGGCAAGGGGTTTGTAGAACTCGAATTTGATGTGTATGTTGAGTGACTCTAAAAGAGGCGAGGTTCGCAAAAGGCTGGCTACTCTCCATACATACTATACTTTGTTACATGCATTTATAGAGTTAGACATTTGCGTCTCAATTCTGAAAGCATCACCCCGTCAAGTTTTTGGATAACTTAGAATGGAGATGTTCAAGTTATGAATTATATCTATATGTATAGTTGATTGAGCAAAAAAAAAAATCTTAATCTTTTGTAGGAAACTTTCATGACCTCCACACATCAACAAGTATAAGTGTATATTATTTAGTATTAAATAAGTTGCTTGTAAAATTTTAAAATATTGTAAGGTCAAGATCCAAAATTATGTATTTAGAGTTCTTTACATACCCATGGGTATAAAAATTATTATATGCAACCATAAGAAATGTAAAAAGAAAGAGGAGTTAGGATGAGAAAATTGTACCAATATCTTAATACATGAATCACCGATCGTTGTTCAATTAAGGAAAACTAATGTGACAGTATATTTATGCTATTATTAGGTTCTTAAAAGAACAGTAAGATTTATTATATTTGGAAAATATGAAAAGAATTGAAAGATTCGTTTAGTTGATTGACCTTACCTTTTGCCTCTTAGGACTTTTTTCTTCAAATCTTCAACTCAATTCTTTGATAGTCTTGTGCTGAATTTTGACGTTGAGAGTAGAAAATGAATGCTAGAGAAATTGGAAGTTGGGAGTGGTGGAAGGCCAAAGGAGAGACAAGAATAATCCAGAAGCAGAAAGAACATAATCAAAAGACAAAACTATCCTCACTTTTGATTTAAATATCAAAATTAGAAATCTATTCAACTTTTGTTGCACAATGTACAATAAAATTAAGATGTGGTCGTCCTTACCTTTCATGCTTCTATATAGTAGAAATATAAAACACCAAAGAAAACATTAAGAAAAATCAATACTTGTGCCTCAATTATAAGGTCACTAAAGCAATCATTTGGGCCTCAATTTGTTTAGGCCTCAATTTATTGAAAAAATGGCACAACATGACAACTTATAGACTAAATTGGCAATAAATATCCCATTTTTAATTTATTGGCAAAAAAGGAATTTTTTAATATATATTTGACATCCAAAAGCCACGTTTTTTGAAAAGCTTCGAAAAAAAATCTGATTTTCTCTCACCCATTTCCTATTTTATTGCTTTATTGTTCCTATATTTTTTTATCTCCATATTTTTTTGTTAACCGTTTTAAAGTAGTGTTCTTTCTTTTCTGATCTCTTTTTTCTCTTTTTAATAAATATCTCGATAATTTCTTTTTTTTTTCTCCTTAATTTTATTTTATGCTCCTTAATTTGCTCTATTTAATTATGCAAGATATAATTGTATATTTATCCTTTGTTCTCTCGTAAATTTCTCTTTCATATATACTCTTGAGTGTTTTCTTGCCCAAATCATTAGAAAGTGATTTGTGAAATTGAAGTTTTTCAACTCTTCTGGGCAATAGTTTTGATTCTAGATTTTGATTTTTTGGTATAAATTCTATGGGTTAGAAAGTTTCACATAAATTTTTTCTAAAAAAATCGGTATGATGATCTCGATTTTTTTAATCTCTACCAACAACTTCAAATTCTACCCATGTAAATACACTTCGATTAATGTATATCAATCTAGATTTAAACAAATATATACAAATTTGTTAGGTAAATACGGAACTAATGAATACGGGCCAATACTGTAGTTACAGTATACATAAATGTATACAACTTCTAAATAAATGAATTCAAAATAGTTTCATGTATATATAATCGACACTGTAAATATAAAATTATAATAAATTCATAAATATTCTTTGAATGAAAGATTGTGTATACAAATAGAGCTAATTGAATTCATTAGTTAACTAAACTTATCACATAATTATACGCACTATTTATTTTACAAGATACATAATGTATACGTAACTATTTTTTCACAATAACTAATACCTTGACACAATCTTATTTTCCTTATAAAATTGACCTTCTATTAGTATAATTGTAGTAGCACCATCTCCAATCTTATGTACACTCGTAATCTCATATTGTTTTACATTAACATTGAGTATTGAAGCTTCATCAATCTTATAATGAAATTCAAAGAAATTAATAGATTTATCGACATATAAATAATTTGATATCAATTAAATGAATCCATTGAAATAAATATTTTTTCCAATTCGATGTATACGTGTAATTCCATAGTATTGCGTATCAATATCAGTGTTGAATCGTTATTAATCCAAATGAAATTCAAAGGAATTGATGAAAGTATCGGCATTTAGATGAGTTGAAATCCATTTGAATCAATCGAAATCAATACTTGTTGTAATAACAACCCCTTCCATTGAATAAACAAAATAATTTTTACTATCGCATTCTTCGCTATGATAAATCAAAACTATCAATGATGTCATTTATTTTTCTCTGTTTGTTGTTGAAGTGCGTTGATTTTTTTTCTTCTTGAATACACTAATTTTGAATTGTTAAATTTCATGGAAACTGAATGACCATCTTTATCAATTCAAGACTTATAATACCATGAAAAAATAATACTCATGTCTCCTTAATTTATGATATTCATTAACTGTTAGTTTCATAATTGAGGGGGGGTGGGGGGGGAACGCCTATTAAGAAGTCGAATTAATTTTGGGACAATTTGTGCTAATATTTTATTGGGATTGTCTATTTAATGCTTATTAATATTGGGCTATATGTTGCTAATAGTTATAAGCAGTTGTCTGTATATGTCATTTCCTACTATGAGTAAATTGGGCTGCATCTTGGATAGCCAAATTGTGAAGGGAAAATCACTTACGTGTACACTTTTTTAAAAATATTTACGATATTTGTCAACATTATTCTTTTAACCATATATAACAATTTGGCTGAATAGTAGTATTGCTAAAAGTTGCGAATGACAGCACTTTTTGCTAAGTTTAAAGGAACAAGATTGTTTAAGTTAGTATCGCTAAAAGTTGACAAAAATGGTAATAAATTAAAAGTATACTTAAAAGTGATAATTATTAAATAAAAGACATTAACTTATGTAATTTTTCCAATTGTGTTAAATACTTTAGGATTTCAAATGGGCTGGAAAATGGATGTACAACCAAATTGGCTGAGTTGCTGGATTATTTTGGGCCTTTTTTCTTCTTTTAAGTTAATTCATTTGAGCTTCTAATTTAATAACTAGTATATTATTTATTACGTAAAAACTTAGTAAGTAAGAAAACTTGAAATGAGATAACGACAATTAGCTTAAAAAAAGACGACAATGAAGTAATAATAGTGTTGATAGTAAAAATATACTTTTAAAATAGTGAAAATGATAATAAAAATATGATAATCATAAAATAATAAAAAGTTAAAGTAATGGTAATAATAGTATCTAAAAGATAATTACGAAAACATTAGTAATAAAATAAAATAGTAGTGAAATATAAAGTATTCACCTTATTAGCAATTTAGAAGCTCAACGAAATAAATTAGAAGAAAGGAGGGGCAAAATTTGATGTCAACACTAATTATATCATTTAGTTTAATTATTTAACAAATTTTCCGTAAAATTATGTGAAAATTGAAATAAATCAATATGAGTAATGAGATATTTGTACCATCAATTTAAAAAACTAATGTGCTACAACAACATTGAAAAAATATGTTTATTTTGTCAATGTCATCTTACTATAATAACTTTGATTTGAAATATCCAATAAAGAGTCATTAGATTCTATGAATTGAATATACATTTTATTTCTTTGACTTAAATCCAACTTGCATGCCAAATATTTGAGGATTTTCACATTAACTATTTAATAAACCCCTTGAAAATGGAAAAGAGTTTTAAATTCCATTTAATTATAGATGAGTTAGAGATTAAATACAATGTACCTAACCATAATTATCATCAAGCCAGTGACTCTATATAAGGAATCCAAATTTCAGTGTTTGGCACCACAAACAAAAGACTACTCATAGCTTGTGCTCCCAATGGAGTTTACCCTTTCTTGATTGTGCCTTTTCAAAGCCTTTGGTGAGTGACCATTTTGATTTTGGATTGAAGTTTAGTTAAATCTAGTTTCATTCTTGATATACATATATATATATATATATATGATCCATTTTTTCACTTTTGGTGCAGCCCCTTTTTCAGGTTTCTTGATTTTATTTGTGGGATGAGTTTATTTAGGTTTCAAAAGATTGTTTTCTTTATTGGTTTCTTGATAGAATTTGAGGTTTGAGGTTTTCTGTGTTCATCTTTTTTTTGGCAATTTTGATGCTTCCGCCCCCCCGCCCCCTCTCCCCAATTCATTTGAGTGATTTTTTTTCCATAATTAATTTATTTGAGTTATTTTTTTGCAGAAAAAGAAGTTTTTTATTCAATCGAGTGAGTTTTTGGGAGCTCGTTTATTGTGACTCAGAGGTAATCTCTTTCTTTTTCTTTTATATCCATTTCATTTGGTAATGTTTGGGAGCTCATTCGCATTTCTGTTTGAATAATGGATACATGATTTCCCTTTTGTTTTGGCAATTTTTAATTCCCTACTGCTATGTTTTATTCAATTTTAATCCCCAAATTACCGTTGAATGATGTTACATTGAAGGATAGAGATTTGAGTAACTGAAATATGATAGAATTTGTAATCCTCATAAAATATTAAGTACTTCTTTGGCAGCTTCACCTGAATGATAATGTTGCTGGTTTATTGAGCTAATTGGAGTTGTTTTTATTGATGTCAACCTGTCTTTGGGAGTTCCACATATACGATTTCTGCTTAATTGTGATCACTGGAGTTAGTTGTTCTTGTTGCTATCAGCTTGTCATTTTTGTTTTTTGTTATTTAGCCTATCAAATAAACATTGCAATGTGGTTTTCTCCTTTTGTTTGGCAACTCTAATTCTCTATTGTTGTTATGTGTTTATCTAACTTATAATCCCCACACGTCCATATTATCACTTGAATGAATTTTTGTTGCAGGACCGGAAATTGTGGCTAGACACTTGATTGATCAAAGTACAACAATAATAACACTCATAGAAAACATAATCAACATGGTTGATGATAACATCAGTGATGATGCCAATAAAAAGTCGTTGGTGGTTTCAGACAAGAAAATAGGAAGCATGAACAAGAGGAAGTTAGTATCTGAGCTTCCTCTAGGAACTCTTACTGATTCACCAGTGTCATGTCTAACGGAATTTCCAAAATATGAATTATTAGAGGAAGCACCGAAAGAAAACACTATTTTTGAGATCGACCCATTGAAGGGCGGGTGTCCTCAGTCTGATGCGGAACAAGAGGTGGAAATGCCACCAGATACAGATTGGGAGGATACTATAACTACTCAACTTCTGGAGCTTTTAACCCAAAATTTGTCCACAGTTTTCCAGAGTGCAGTCAAGAAGATTGTCAAGTGTGGATACAGTGAGGAAATTGCTGAATGGGTTATCATGAGAAGTGGTCTTTATCATGGAAGCAAAGACGCTATCTCAAATGTAGTTGATGGTGCCTTGGCTTTATTGAGTAGGGAAAAGGTTTTCGATATTGATAAACCTGTTGTATTTGAAGGTTTACCGAGCTTGGTTAATTACACATTGCTAGAGATGATATGTGTGTTGAGAGAGGTTAAGCCAGCTTTGCCAGTTGTAGAAGCATTGTGGTGGCTGTTAATATTGGACTTGAATCCAATACATGCATGTACAATGGAAGGTTATCATCTG